TCTCTCTCTCTCTCTCTCTCTCTCTCTCTCTCTCTCTCTCTCTCTCTCTCTCCCAACTAACCCGGTTCCCTTGGTGCTGGTGGGGGACCGCGATGGCTGCCGTTGGCGGGCGACAGCGGGGGTCACGCGCGATTTTGGGCGTTGGTGGGATTCGTCGGAGTTGCTACGACAAATGGTGACGGGGGGAGGGAGGCGCCGTGCGGGGGAGGGAACGGGGAGACTTGGGGGGGGAGAGTGTTCGTGTTGGGGAGGGAACAGGGGCCGGCAGTTCCTGCCCTCACCAATTTCAAATCGCAGCCCATCTGGGCCGTCGATCTTTGAGATCGACGGCCCAGATTGGTCCCAATTTGAAATCGGTATTGGACCCGATTTTCTTTTTTTTCCGGACTGGACGACCTTCTGTGGGGGCGAAAAGGACCCCCGCGCCGAAAACCGCCGAACCCCCCCCCCCTCTTCTCCGATGCGCTGGCGACGCCCATTGGCCAACCAGGCGGGACAACCGGCCAGGCGCCCCCCCCCCCCCCCCCCCCGGCGACGACCAGGTCGCCGGGCGGCCCGGGGACCAGCCTGGGTTTTTTGGTGACCAACCTTCAACATGCTGATCTTCAATCCCTGTATTCCGATTGGAATGAAGAAAGTCACGTCGTGGTAGCGCATTGTGCGTTCCGAGTTGAGGATTTTGCAGGAGTCTACCACGTCCACAGATCCCCCACAAATCCAAAGTTTCCACGCAGTTTCCAGAACTTTCCAAGGCCCACTGAGTCCAGGCACACNCAGGAGTCTACCACGTCCACAGATCCCCCACAAATCCAAAGTTTCCACGCAGTTTCCAGAACTTTCCAAGGCCCACTGAGTCCAGGCACACACTGGCCGCGAGAAAACCAGGGCCACGTATATCGGCAAATCTCGGCCCCTCAAAGAGGCAAAAGGGAGGCAGGCCAGGCCGAGTCAACACTGTAAAAGAGTGGCTTGCCCCAAGTCGTGAATTCATTCTGCCTTGTGCTGCGTGGAGACTGGAGCGATGCTGCTCAAGTGCCAGTGCTTTAAGAAGGCAGACAAAGAGTGAAAACTGGAGTGAGAGAGAGTGGTAGCTATAGTCTGCAGGAGCTGATGCACCATAGATTATAAGAGAGAGAAGGGGGGAGAGCTCAGGTAGAGTCCAAGGCTTGGGGAGAAGAGGAAGCCTGCCTGGAGAGTGTCAACTCGAAGTGTTCAGCCATAGCTGCTGCAGAGAAGACCAGTTGTTGCATGCTCGACATTCTTCATCCTAGACTCAGAGGTGGTGCTCCAGACTAGACCTTGTCTGGCACCATAAAGAGAAGGTTCAGGAGTGAGAAGGTGATACCTGTTGATGGGCGGCCATAGCTACCTGACGAAGAAGACTCCAAGAGGAGGGAGACCAGCGTCCATCATCCAGGACTTCATTTTGTTGGTGCTTGTGATATAGAGTGTGGCACTTGTGCTAGTGAGGTCAGGGGGTGAGAGGGAAGATCACCATAGCTTCAAGGAGGCAATGCCGGGAAATGAGAGAGAAGGTTACCATAGCTTCAAGGAGGCAATGCCGGGAAATGAGAGAGAAGGTCACCATAGCTTCAAGGAGGCAACATGGTCGTGATTTGGGGGAACAAGACTCCATGCTGCTGCCAAAAGATTGGAATTGTCCTTTCAAGTTCCAGCTTTACCGAGCTAGCCTGGAGTAGGCCAGCTCTGTAGCGAGGTTGAGTTGGGCAAGTGAAATTGTGTCTAGACTCTAGACTGGCGGTAAAGGAGTGGAGAGATACAAGACACTAGATATACTGAGGTGGTGAGACGGATTCCCATCGAAGAAGAGGGAGAAGAAGTCTGAACATTGTATGCATTGTTTATATTCTTAAGATACTTCCATGCTTTTGATCTTCTTCTTCACATAGTCTATCTTTTTGCGCCGTCTCAATTTGCTTGTTATCATTGAGTTGAGCATTGTGTGTTCATGCAAGATTTGATTATGCATTGAGCCTCACTGCTCGACACCATGAGCACACACACACACACACATTGAGAGATCACACGAAATCCACACTGGAGTCCAGGTATGCGCAGCTTAGAAATTCCAACAAATTATCACATTAAACAGTTTCGGAGGTCCAGTCACCAAGCGCTCAACAGCGCAGAGTTCAGCAACCCAATACCAGCACCCTCATCTAAGGTAGGTGACTCTCTTCTCTCCCTCCCTCTCTCTCTCTCTCTCTCTCTCTCTCTCTCTCTCTCTCTCTCTCTCTC